GGTCCTTCCCAGTCCTCCATGGGAAACTCGCAGCAGGAGTCCTGTCCCTGTGCATGCAAGAGCTCATGTGCCATTCCCAATTTTCAGACACAGTCTATTTTAAACTTTACTATTGTCAAGAGATCAAGCTGTTCTACATAATAAACAATTCCAAAATTAAATACATTTATGAATTTGAATTGATAGCTTTTGTCTGTATTACAGAGATGCTTTCTTTAGTTCGTTCCTGGGGCGCTCACTGCGTTATCAGTAAATGTGGTGGATTTATTCAGTCTTGCTGTGAAGTCCAAGATTTCTGTGCCTGTTCATTGCATGTTTTCTGGGTTCATAAAAGTAGTACTGGTCATTGCAAATGAAGAAGAATACAGACTCCTCAGTGCATTAAAGCAAATTAAAACTCTCTGCAACCTTTCCCGGCTGGCGTGGGAGGCCCGCACTCAGCACCAGAGACAGAGCTCGGAGGGGGAAGAAAAGATGCTCAGAGGATGAAAAGATGCAGAGAACGGGGGAAAAGTACACCTTTTAAATGTAATAGGAATTTCTAAATTAGGAAAATGTTTAATTTAAGGGCCTTGTATATTCAGCATCTTTCTTCAATTTACGTAATTCATAAATATGAAATAGAATAACCTCTAGGGACCTTAGGAATGTTATTCAGCTTTACAAACTCATTACTGAAGTAATGACAGCATTTTTCCTCTGTTATGCTTGCTGTGCAATGACACCTTTGTTATCAGATTCTGACTTCATCAGCCAATCTGGCTTCCAGCACCTGATATGAACATCATAGGTGGAGTATATGTATTTAAATATTCTTTTCTAATATTGAAAAATGAACCAAAATATCACTCTTAAGGATTTTAGTTGCACTGAACAATTCAGCCATGGATCCTATATCCATTTAAATGATGTGACTATTCCCACTGGCATTAGCCAAGTATAGGAAGAATCCATTTAGATGAAGTTCTGAACAACGCCATCAATTCATTTCACTTTAGGCCTCCAGTACTGCTGATATCCCAGTCTTTGGTCTTTAAAATGGTCTGCCAACTCTGACTGGAAGCAAACCTTTCGATACCTGTACTAGCTCTCAAAAGTAGGCCAGTGCACCTTCCAGGCAATATCCAGGCCAGTCCTGGTCTTTGCCTGGTAGAGATTTGCAGTGAATAACATTATAAATTATCTCTCAATTTGTCTATTTCTCTTGATTAAACAGACAGGCCTAATTACAAGATGAAGCCCAGAATGATCTATTAGAACATGATTCCCGGCTGAAGATAAGATTGATGATGGTCCAGTGTGCAGGACCATCCTAGTGAAAGAGGAAGGTAGTGCTGGTTTATGAGTAGAGCCTTCTATAGCTGGTTCTGGTCTCCTCATTGACAATTATTTGCAGCTGATTTTATTTCTCCCCTTTCAGAATGATGAGGGAAGAAGAGGCTGATCCTGCTGACCTCCTGTGTACATTATTTGGCAGCCACCCAAGGACAGTGCTATGTAAAAAGCCAGGTGTTGTTGTTGGCTGATATTGTTAATGCTGTTGCTGCTGTTCCATGGCGTAGAGGGATTCTGTCCTACTAGAGTAAGGGTTGTCTAACCCTTATGCTTACCGTATGTTAAAAAATGTTATGAAAAGACGTATTTACCAGGTTCTCATCTATCTCAGAGGAAATGGGAGGAAGGCCGATGGGTAGATCCTTTAGGATTGTATTAGGAAAGGAAGGGAATTGGCTCTATGCTGTGGTTATTTGGAGGCTTAGGAAATGAGGAAGGGGGCAGCCTGTCATTTACCAGCAGCTCGTTAACAGCAATTCAGTGTACACGGCTGAGCCTGTGCGATTGACTCTATGTAAGCTAATCAGATACACTAAGGAGCAATGAGTTGTTCTACTCTCTTTTGTACCTCTGTTTATCCGTGAGCAGAATTACATCTGTTTTACACCCATCTGCATTCAAATATCAGCATCCTCCCCCTCAAAAAAATGTGTTGTGCCGTCGGTAAAACCAGACAGCTTTCCAGGGGAGCAGACAGGGAGAAGACTTTAAAAATGTGTACCTACTAAGATTGGCAACACAGCTTAGGGGGATAGACTCCATAAACATAATATGGATCATTGTTATGTGCTGTGAGGTAGTGAAGATGAATTATGTCTTTAGAAGCCATTTCTTTAAAATTAGCTTAAAATAGATGCAGGAGTGAGCAGCCTTGATCCTGGGCACTTTTACATAATGGACAATGAAACTGATTGCAGAATTATCTGACTTGTGTTTGTCAGTCAGGAAAAAAGTCCTTGCAGGCAAATACTCAGAAGACATCGTGAAACCAAGAAGTCCAGCGACTCATCCATAACAACGAAACTCTTCCTCTCTGAGGGAAGGCAATTCAATCCTTGTGATTTTTTCTGAAAGATCATGCTGTCCCATGTTACTAGTCACAATGGACTTTACTGAATGAGAAAGGTGAAGAACAAGTGAAACAACATTTAAAAATGAACTGCAGCAATGACTTGTTAAAGTTTTCATTATCTAGTGATTTAATATTCCCAAGTGGGATGAAATCCTTAAGAGTTTATAGATCCAGACACAGCTAATCTCCGAACAAACAATTCAGCCACACCAATGAGATTGGAGTTTATATTTTAAAAATGCATGTGTCCGTTTCCAGGTAGATTTACCAAGCTAGTAACAGGAACTGAATCAGATTGCATGTGCTAATGACATGAGTCATATGACCAATATCTGCTGTATACCACTGGAAAATTGTATGAGAGATGGGCGTTCATACCTTTCCTTATTTTACCTGTCAAACTCAAACCAAATTTTTCTGTGTTTTTCTTTTAATAAGTGCTTTGAGTCTTTGCATTTTAGTTTTGCTAGACTACTGACCGAACAGGGATCTGTGATTTCTTTGGTGCTCGTCAGCATTTAGTCTGTATTAGATCTACCTGGAGAGTGGATCTTCGTCTCAATGGGAAATTCAGTCATTTGACATTTCTTTTTGATACAGGAAAGGACCAAAGGACTAAATATTCTCATGAAAATGAAAAGTTCCAAAAAATTGTGGCTTAAGTAGTGTCTAAATGTACCAAAGCCTTCTATAGAAATCAAGGTTGACTTGGAGGAATTGAAGTGCAGCAATTTAAATGTAGCAGAGGTACAATGAGGCCCTGTTTGAAAAAGTACAATTCTCCCTTTCTTTCTCTGTTTGACTTAGAACAACCAGCACAAACGTTAAGTTATGATGGATGACGTAAACTGAGGACTGGTAGGAAGTAGCTCAGAATGGTTGTAAGTGGATAATAACTGTAGCAAAATAGCAATTGATTGCTTAAGTGTTTGAACCTTTGACAGAATAAATCAATTCTACAAAGAATACTAAGAAATAACATGTCTTTGGCATGCAGAGCATTTTAAAATGATCTATTTTATGCATGTGCATCTAAATGCTCTTCTGCTAAATTATCCCTCTAATGCATTGCAAAGAAATGGAAGGGAACACTGGCAAATGAAGAAATGTAGTAACAACACTGAAGCAACTGAGGGATGAAACCCAGAATGTTTCTGCAGCGCAGGTCCACAGCCTACATAATGACGTTACGGCGATCCCTGGGGGCATTCCCACACTGAGCCGGAGAGGCTGTCCCAACGGAGAACAGACTCTCCCCTGACTCCATGGGCTCCCTGCTGTGGCCAGGGACTGCAGCGAGTGTAACCAGTCATCCCACCAGGCATCTGCCTGCCGTGCCAGTCAAGTAGAGGACCCAATCAGACAGGGCACATGGATATAAAGGAAGGTTGTCTTGGCCCTCAAGAAGTTTGCAGCTCATATAACAGTGAGGTTTAGGATTCTAGAATAGCGATTAAAGAAAAAAGAACCACCAGATTTAGAGAAAAAGAGCTCCCTGTAACATTGTTCTGATCTCATGGTGTACAGTGCTAGCAGTAGATTTCCAAGAAGAACAGAGGAATGAAATTTCATTGCCAATAGCAAATGCCACCTATTTTTTCTTCTCTAAACAGCACCTGAAAGTTGCCCATTTGGAATATAAGAGCTGCAGGAATTAGGAACTGTTACTGCTTTTTCGGATCCTTCTCTCTAGAGGAACTGGTGGAGGCAGCAGAGAAAATGAGAGCGGTGGCAGTAGGTTGGCATTTGCCACCACACTATGAGCAGCAATTTCTGGCAGTCTGTAAGAAGACACGTGCAGGGAAACGGTTGCCATTTCTTCTTTGGTAACAAGAGTCCTGCTTCCGATCTCACATTTGGGGTATCTCTGCCCCCCTGGAGAAGCTGATTTTTGGCTCCAATCCAGCGTGGAAAAACTTGCCTGTTCCCCACGCAGCCCCTTCGACCTGCAGAGCAGCCCACTGCTGCTTAGGCGGTCACCCATCTCCCCCCTCCAGGACTTGGGGTCCATGACTGGAAGATAGGATGGCAAGGGATCCTTCCTGTGAGCTGCTGAGCTCTGAGCCTGAGGCTGCTCTGCAAATGACTATGTCTGGGAAGGAAGAGGAGGAGAAAAGAAGGGATTTCTGCCCATGCTGCTTCTGTCCCTTTTGCTCCTGCTCTCCTGCGTCAGCACCCGGAAGGTCTAGCTGTGGTAGCAGTTAGCTCTCTTCTCTTACTGTGGACGTGTGAAAGCATCCTGAAACTTATGTTCTCATTTTCAAATTCCATTCCACTTCTTACACTGCGCCCTGCACCATGGGAGGCTGAGAAGGAGACAATGCCAGGCACAAAGCTGGGAGCTCCCCAGAGGCAGAAATCTTTAGAGGTGCTCTTTCTGCACAGGCTCTGGAAGGGAGAAAAAGAAAGATGTTGCAAATCAGTCAAGATGCTTCACCCCATGTAGCCGTTGTGCTGGGTACACAGAAAGGAGGAGGGAGGAGACAGGGAGATAAGGAAACATCCACTCTCTCTGTATTTTGCTACTCTACCCGGAATCTGCAAATGTCAGGCTCTCCCATCATGTATCTGTGGGGCTGCAATACATCTCAGGATAAGCTAGGAAGAGATACACTATTGGCTATTTCATGTGCAGTGTGTCATCTGGCAGGCTGTATATATCACAGGGAAGGCAGGGACCACTCAGTCTCTGAGCGAAGCTGCTTCCAGTGTATAGCTCCGAGATACTTGAAGGATGGAAAGAAGTGGGAAAAGCTGCCCTTGCTTTTTTTGATTCTGACAAGCTCTGAAAACTCTTTGGGAAATAGAAATCTGCTGAATTAAGGACTATGTGGAAAAGCAGGAAAGCAGATTTCCAAGGACAAGTTGTGAGGGAGAAGCAGAACAGTGTCCAGAAGGAAATATTCGCTAGGACTTCTTTCTCGGTGCACAGAGAAAGTGTTTTGGGATCTTTGATACTTCAGCATCAAATCAACTCTTGTGTATAGGACATACGGGACTGAAAAAGAACAGCAGCTGGAGAGTTCTTGGAGCAAAGCTCTCATGTAATCAGCATAGGAAGAAGGACCCATTTATCAAGTCTTTTATGTAATTTGCAACCACAGGATGTATTTTTAAAACGCAAGTGCATATGTTCTCTCCTGCAACTGCCAACTCAGCACCTGAGCTCCCAGAAAGGAGGGAGGGCAGAAAGAGACACCGAGCCTCCCAGGTGGCAGGGACACGGGTAGTCTTCGCACTTCACCTCCCGACCATGAGCGGACACATGTGGTTCCCTTTCCAGTACATCTCCAAGCCCTTCTGGAGAGCAGAGAGTCACAACAGCACCAGCTTCCTCTCTGCACTCTATGGCTTCCCCAATCAGTCCTTCTTCCATAGCGAGATGGACCTGGAGGACCTGGGTGACTTTGACAGTGGGACCAGGTATGAGGGCGAGTCGCAGAGCCGGACGGTGAAGGCGCTGCTCATAGTAGCCTATTCGGTGATTATATGTATCTCGCTCTTTGGCAATATCCTGGTGTGCCATGTGGTGATCAAGAACAAAAGGATGCACTCAGCCACCAGCCTCTTCATCGCCAACCTGGCTGTCGCAGACATGATGATCACCATTTTGAACACCCCCTTCACGCTGGTAAGCCGTGCGACACTCGCCTCGCCGCCCCGGCGCCCCCGCGCCCCAGCCCGGCCGGCGGCTGCCCGCTGCTGGGCTTTGCAGCCTGCCTGCGTGGTCAGGGCACCAGGGAGCGCAGCCTGACCCGGGGAGCCCGGCCCGGAGCGGCACAGACAGCGAGCAGGGGGGGAAGCCCGCACGTGGGCTGCGCGGGGTCTGGCTCCCCTTTACACTCCAGTTTGCTAGGAAGCAGGGGGTGCGTGTGTGTGTGTGTGTGTGTGTGTCTGAGTTTGAGGGTGCGGGGGCATCCAGCGTGTTTGTTTTGCTGGTGACCGTATGTGCCTGTCAGGGTTGTGTGTCTGCACATTGATTTGACTGGTACCAGGCTGAAACATAAACTTTCTTTTTGCCTCTCTCCCCTCTCCTCTGTCCCTTGGACTATAAAGTGAGCTGCAGTTGTGCTCACCCTCACATAGGCTCCCCAGCCGGGGAGTGCAGCTCAGGGCTCATGCCCATCACCTTGCAAAACCTCGCAGGAGTAGGCGCTCTCCTGTAACTTTCTTCCTGCAACTTTCCTCCTATCTTTCTTTCTAGACTGTGGCAAGAGACAGATGTCTAAGTCCTATTTATCTTTTGATGGGGAAGGAAATGGGGACACGTGTTGCACTAGAAAGTCCAATTAGCTGCCAATTTCCTTTGGAAATGATGCAAACAAGGTCATTCCTTGTGAAGATGACTGCAGAGAGAACAGCTAGGTCTGCGCGGAGCTATGCCAGTTTGGCATATCTCTTACTTGTGCATTGCAAACTGTGCGCTTGGAGTTGATTGTCCTTTATTTAATTTTAGTTACTAAAAAGTAAGATACAAAAAGAAAATGAAAAGAATGAGGCAGGAAGAATTTAACTAATCCACTTCTTGCCCCACTTCCATGTTTTATAAACAATGTCTAAGTATGACTTTCTGTATAGATGAATTTGACAAAATCCTCTGGTTTGAAAGCAACCCAAATACTACTGCTTCTGTCCTTGCCCATCCTGTCCAAGGGTCTCTGCCTTACTCTGGTGGGATTTGCATGCCTTAATCTGTTGAGGGAAAGGACAGTGCCCTCTTGTGTGTTTGCACAACAACAGTCACACATTAGGCACAAGTAATTAAATAACTGTAATTCCACTTAGAGAAGAGTTTTACATCAGCTTCAAAGAAACAGCAAATTGCTACAGCTTCATTAACCAAATCATTGCTGCTTGAGTTGTCTTTATGGACAAATTAATTTGGATTAAAATGGTAGATTACTTGAAAACATATTAGCTAGTCTTAACTAATTTTCTGTGTGGACACATGCTTTGGAGTAAATGTCTTATTTCAAATTAGCTTAATCTGCTTCCAAGATAGGTTACACTGATTTGGAATAAATATTACACATAAGATAAATATTGCAAGCATAAGAATGTTTGCATGGGGGTTAAAACAAGAACAACTATTTACCAATAATTTCCTTTGTAGAAAAGCCACAATAAGCAACACCTCTTTGTGCATTAATAAGGAATGCCATGATGACCTTTCCGTTACCATCTCAAGACACACTTTAAGTCCTCACTGCCCAAAAGCAGTTAGATTTTGTGCCCAAGTGGAAATAGCCCCAAAAAGTGCAGGGTTCAGACCAATAAGGAAGGCGACCAAGCTTGTAAAGTTTTAGTTATTTTTTCAGCCGGAGAGTAAAATTGTCAAACTTAACTGGTAACGCTTAAATTGCTGTTGATGCATGTTGCACAACATGATAGAAGGAGAATCTGGCTTAGCAATCAAAGTGCAGGCAAGACCCTACCATGCCCCCAGAGCTCCAGATCCTGTTTCTGAGAGTGGCTCATGGTTGCAGACCTCAGGAGGAGTATAAGAACAGGGCAAGTATGTAGGGATGCCCCACAGACATTTAATTTCTCTCCCAGAGATGTTATCTCTGTATTTCACAGCCCTCAAAGGATTTTTCTTCTATGAATTTATCTCATCAGTCTTTGGACCCGTGCAACTTTTAGCATCCACAAATTTAAACATTTGAAAGATAATAAAAATGAAAATGTTTTCAAGGAAGCAAGCTAATGCTTTTCCTTGCAAAAAATCTCCCCAAGTAGTCGAGCTAAGATTTCTTTTTCCAGAAGGGCCATATTACATGTACGCATGTGCACAGAAATGCACATACATAGAGCACTGCTCAAGCAGGACAGTTAGATTTATTTGCTTAGTACAATAAATCTCACTGTTTCAAAGCCTTTTGCATAGTCAGCTTTTTCCCAGGAATACTGGTTATAAGACATCTACAAAGCATCTGGAAGCTATATTAAAGCAATTCATCGTTACAAAACTCATGGGATACCTGTTCTTCAGATAATGCACACTGTTTTAATCCATTTTTGTCTGTTCTTCAGGTGCGGTTTGTAATCAGCACCTGGGTTTTTGGAAAGCTGATGTGTCATGTAAGCCGGTTTGTTCAGTACTGCTCAGTTCATGTATCTGTACTGACCCTTGCTGCCATTGCTCTGGATCGACACCAGGTATGCAACATACCTCACGCCTAAATCTGTTAGCAAATAAGGGGATAAATACTTAGTTCTTCCCTAGATCCCTGTGTTATCTTGGCAATCAAAGAATGGAGGGACAGATTTTAGCTTTCATGGTGATAGAGCATCGCTATGAAAACGTAGCATGAACACATGCTGAGGTTCAAACACCAGCAAACCAGTACCTTTTATTTATAATGAGTCTTGTGATATTTAGGTCTACCCCACTATTTTGGGATGCCTAGAACTGGCAGCAGGGAGAACTGTCTTAGTACATTCGGCTCTTGGGTAATTCCCCCTTCCCCCACCAAGATACTGGTTTTAGCAAATACCAACCAGAAAAACGTTACAGGCTAACCAATGAGTGCAGGGAAATCTAAGGGTTTCCTTGAAGAATAATGCAATTTGACATTTTTGCTGGCTGATAAATACTGTGCACTGGAACGGCACGTTCTGCAAGGTGCGCTCTCAGGCAGTCTGTGTTTTTCTCGCAGCACTGAAGTCACTGTTAACAGTTGTAACTGAAAAGCAATTTCACATGACAAATGACATGGCTAGATGGAGTTCAAAACAATAACTGATCCCACTCTGATTGTCTGTGATGTGCTCCATCTGGTGTCAGAAAATTACAGTGACTGCCAGAATATAGATCATTATCCACTTCTTGCTTTTTTACCACATAAAGTTTGGTAGTCTCTGCATTCTACATGCAACATCGCAGCTCCTGTAAGCAGACAGTTCCGATTCACAGGAAGGATCTTTAAAATAATCATTAATTTTAATCATCTCCTGGATTGATTGCAAAGCATTGCTAAGTATCAAGAAGTATCTGTTTAATTAAGGCCAAACACAATAACTGCCTTTAAGATCACTGGGAGTAGGTTCCCCAGACCTGGAATTTGTTAGCATGGCCCAAGGAGATATAAATAAAAGTAAGGAGATGTAACTGAGCAAAGAGAAAGCAACACTTGTCTCTAAAAATATTTCTAGCCCTGAGAGCTATCAGAGCAGAGCAGATGCTCCAGGGGAGCTGGAAAAGCTTGATTAAGTAGATATTTATAATGGACTAGAGAAGACATGCAAAAAGTACTGAAGACTTCATTAGCCAAGAGATCATCTGGATAACATGATGGGTCTGTTTTAAATTATTGTTTCACTGCCTAATACAATCATCTATAGTTCATATAGCTCAAAGTGCATCCAGCTTTAATAATCTCTGAAGCCAAGCTGGTGGGTGATACTGACATGTCTCTCTGCTTAGAAGGCACTTGTGCCAACATTAACACTTAATATTTACACAATTCTTTGCATTTTCCAGTCTTTATACTCTCAGAAGTCCCATGAAATGGGCCTCTCCCTCTCCCCTTTTAACACTGAAGCTGAGACAATGGAAGCACCTTGCGTAATGCTCCTGAGGGGCTCAGGGCCGGGGCAGGGTTTTCCCCGCTCGTACCCTGTGCTCTCAGCAGCGTGGGTTTCCTCCGCTTCGACCCCTCAGCCCTCCATGGGGCATGGAGCTGCCGCAGCATTTCAGATTGCAGCGTGGGGCTGGAAGTAGTGAGCAGGACATCGTCGGACAAAACAGCCCCCCATGCCAGCAGACGTGCCCTACACTGCACTGCTGCCAGTACAGTATGGCGCAGACTGCGGCTGTAGAACAAACCAGCTTCAGGGTTTTTGTTAGTGCTGTGCTGGCCAAAGACTGCCTTATTTTTGACTGCCTCAAAGCACCATGTCACACTCTGTCTTGCAAGTCCAAATGCCAAATATTGTGACTTCTATGGCTGCCATGTACTTTTGAAGCCTAATCTGTAGTAATCAAGACACATTTTCTGCCATCTATAATGCAAGCCAGAACAGCCTCTTGGCTTTCAGCTTGCACCATGCTTAACATCCATGCTGAGTATGCTTTGCTGTCCTGGAACGTATGCATGCTGTTTGCTTCTCACTCAGTGATCAGTGAGAACTGCTTGCCCCCGACATGAATAAAGTGAAGGTGTATTTTTGTCTAAAAATTGCAGTTCCTTTTTCTCAATTGAGGACATTTAAAATCCTCTGGAATGGCTGTTCTCTGCAGGTTATCATGCACCCTCTGAAGCCACGCATGTCCATGGTAAAAGGAGGGATTTGCATCATTATCATCTGGGTTATGGCCAGCTGCTTCTCACTGCCTCATGCCATTTACCAGACTCTGGCAAGATTTTATATTGGGTAAGATTTTTACACAGTACTTTTTTATATGATATACTCAGCATGATGCACAGAGTCTAATGCACGTGATTCTCCATCTGCGTTCCTAGAAAAGGAAGGTAAGGTGAAATGGAGAAGTCTTCCGTATTTTTGACTAGATGCTGTGTTTCTCACAAAAGGATACTGTAAATCAATGAAATTGCTTTTAGGCTTGTTTGTTAGTTGGTTTCAGCTCAGAGATTCCGTGCTGTAACTTGAGTCAGGCACAGAAACCTCTCCTTCATTAAAGGGGAATAGAAGTCAAAATGGATAATCTTTTTTTTTTCCTGGCGATTTGTTTAAAAAGGTCATCATCACTGAGGCCAAATGCCAGACTTAATGTAAGATTTTCTATTGAAAGAGGCACTTATCCATGTTACTGAACGAATTCTGCTATCCATGCCTTTACTGAAACTTAGAATATCTGAGATGCTTGTCTTCCAGGTATTGTGTGCATCTGATGGTGGAATTAACAGTTCTTTCCTCCTTGGTTCTTCAGGAACAGAACAATCCGAACGGTCTGTCTCCCCAGCTTCCCTCCTCCTGCTGACCTTTTCTGGAAGTATTTAGACTTGACTACTTTTGTTCTCTTGTATGTCCTGCCCTTGCTTGTGATCTCCATCACATACACCATGGTGGCCAAGAAGCTCTGGCTGAGAAATGCCATTGGGGACATCACCATGGAGCAATATTATGCCCACCAACGGAAAAAGAAGATGACACTGAAGATGCTGATGGTGGTGGTGATAGTGTTTGCAGTGTGCTGGTTCCCTCTGAACTGCTACGTGGTGCTGATCTCCTGTAGGGCCATCCACAGCAACAACGCTATGTACTTTGCTTTTCACTGGTTTGCCATGAGCAGCACTTGCTACAACCCTTTCATTTATTGCTGGCTAAACGAGAGCTTCCGATCTGAGCTGAAATCCTTGCTGTGTGCGTGCCGGCGAAGGGATGCAGCCCAGAGCCATGCTCTGCAGCCCATATCCCCTCCTTTCAGGCATGCTTGGGTTGAGAGCTGCCATTATAAAAGAGACAGCACCTGTCAGAAAACAAGGGCATCATCCCAAAGGAACTCAGCAAAGACAGACATATCCAGTGTCCAGCCAGTTGTAACAGGAAACTAAACCCTTGACCAGGCTGTACTGTGTTATAATTGCAAAGTTATAGAAAAATTAGGTTGGCAGGGACTGCTGGAGATCATCTAGTCCAACCTCCTGCCCAAAGCAGGCTAACTTCGAAGTTAGACTGGGTTGCTCACGACCTTGTCCAATGAGGTTCAGAAAATCTCCAAGGATGGACTGCCCACGTGCTGCCTCCAGTGTGTGACACTGGGTGCATTTTTAGTCAGAACAGTCAGCAAAAATTAAGTGTATTCATTAATAGCACATGAAATCATTCATGGCCTAAGCAAATAAACAGAGCCTACACTGATTTATACACACACCAACTAATGCACATCATTTTTAGTGGGATGGCTGTTTACACATAGAGAAACACTATATTGTTTCCAACTTTGTGTTTATTTTTAATGTATTCAAGATGAGTAGCATTTATAGCCATTCTCAAATTTAAAAACACAACATTTTTGCTGCTTAATCTGCTGTTATTTTTATTATGCAGATCTGGACATCTTATTCATTCAAACCAGTAAGTGTTTCTGCCAGTTCCACAGACAGCTGTGCTTCTCAGCAACAATTGAAGAAATATCTCAAAAAACAAAATGAGAACACAACTAAGAGGTAGAATAGTGAAAAAATCACTCCATTTTGCAAGCGTTCTTCTTCAAATGGATTGTTTTGTTCAGTAAGGATTGTTAGTAGCCACCGTAAAGAGTGGTTTATGTTGTAATCTGTGTTCAAGAAAGAAATTATCCAAGTGAGATCATTCCCAAGAATTAGCCAGCTGAGGAAGCAACCCTTTGTTAAAATATATACCACATATCATTTTCCTAGGGACTGTACAACTGCCACTCACCCGACTCCCCTTACCCATCAATAAATGGAACTAATTTCAGAGGAATTTTCCAATTTTTGCACTTTTTGCAGTAATTTTTGATGTCTTTTGGTTATACCTAGAGATATACATAGGAGATTACAATTCAGAAGTCAAGAATTGGTAGTGGAAATCATTGTATGTGGCTTGTACCAATGACTGGAGGTGACACCAGTTTGAGTCCAACAGAGTGAGGGTCCTTTCCACTGGTCCCAGCAAGTTAAGCTGGTGAATCCTGGGCAGATGCCCAGGCTGGATAAGAAACCCTCATTAGGTATGTTCAAAGAAGGCTCTTGGGGACCGATAGCCCTCAGAGACTAAGCTCCCTACCTCATTCCTAAATCGGGGACAGTCACATGGCAGGACAGTGATGGGACCTGGCCTGCAAGGGGTTTTCCCTAGCACTGGGAACATGGGCTTGTGGCAGGGCAAGCAAAGTGGGGGCATCATGCAGCGTGCGACGGGAGGTGGACCCAGATTTTCACAGGGACTGTAGAGATCAGTGCAATGCTGCACAAATATGCCCTTGATCTATTCCTCAAAAACCTGGCTGGGAATAAAAAGACTCTGCAAGCATGCAGAGATGGTAAAGTCTGAATTGCCTTGATGGGATCTATGTGGAGACAAGAGAGGTGTTTGCCAGTGGGTACCTGTTCTGCTGATATTTGTAGGACTTTGTTGTAGTCTCTAGGCTTTCCCTAAAGGACTTCTCAGATTAATGTATTTCCTAAGAAAACATATATTGTGATGTTTTAACATTGTTAATCAGCATTTCTTATAAAGTAAGGTGTCAAATATTTTCAGTTTCAATAATATTTTATTTTTCTACAGTCCTTAAGAACTGTGTCCCTGTGGCTACACTGTCAAACTTGCAGTCCTTCCCCAGACCTTGCCAAACTGCCCTCACGTTCTAGAATTAATCGTGATTACTGCCTGACAACTGCTGAACAAGGCAGCCTGCTTTGCATAAGAGGTAAAACCTTCCATTTAAACTCTAAGTGTTAAGAACAGATAAGCAGTTTTTAAAACCCACTTGCCAAAGACAGGAAAAGGTGGCATTAGAAGAAAAGAGTTTATTTATAAACCTATATATATTTCCCCACTCCATAAAATAGAATATCTCATAATATGCCACAGCAATTGCCTCAAAAACTGATATTCCCCATTCATGCTACTCTTGGTGATGGTCAAGTGCTTTTAACAGCATTTATTCTGTTTTGAGCAGTGGCTCCAAATATGTAATGAAATAGCTGAGATTCTTCAGCCATGTAGGCAGGCAGGTGCGCAGGGCCTGGACAGCTGCTGCAGACAGCTACTGGTCTCACTGGTCAGAGTGGGAGCCAACTCTGGTCATTTCAGAGATAAATTTGGGCCAGTAGTGAGAAATATCAAGTGGGAGCACATGACCAAACTCAAACTAATGGCTTTGAAAATGAACCAATGCGGCGTTGTTCTTTTACTCAGGAAGAATAATCATTTTTTTATTTGCATCCACTTGGTGCTGGCTCAGCTTTCTTGATTGTGAAGGATTTAGTCTCAATACAGTGAAAGGAAAATGAGGTTCATCCTTCTTATGCAAAATAATAATAATTGCACTTCTACAGCTTAGAATTTCTGCTGAAGACTGGCTGTGTGAGTGAAAGAATATTTTGATTTGGAAATCAAGTTACTTTGATAGGTACATAAAATGAGAACATGTAACCTGATAGTGTATTTGCATCTAATGAAGAAATTGTGAAGCTGAGGAAAGAGTAACTATAATGCAATTCTTGCTTCTTACTAAGGTAATTATGGCAAGCAGGAGAGGATAGAAGTGTGCCAGACAAAAAACAGTGATCATACCCTGCTTTGAATACTGCGAAACACGCTGGCACATTCAGTTCAAACCCTTTAAGTAAATGTTCCCCCTTACAAATAGTGATGCTTTGCTGTAACTCATCAGGACCACATTTCTACAGGGATTACTGTG